CGCCCCTTGCTCCCTGGGGGCGTCGGGGCTGCTCGATCCGTTCGCGTTTTGCCCAAGGCTTTCGGCAGTTACAAGAAAATCTTCTGTTAAATTTTCCTTTCCGTTTCCCCGCTGTTTCTTTTGTTTGCTTGCTTTTCGCCTCTTTTAATAGTTTTTTCCCCTTTTAATCTCACGCCCAACCCAAAACATTCTATGTTTCTATGCTTAATGCACAGCTGCTGGGCTTGCATCCTTGATTCAGGAGTCGCGAATAGTGAAAATTAAAAAAAAGTGTATGTCTCTCGCATACCTTGCAGAATTAATACAAAAATCAAGAGAGCCTTGTAAAGAACTTGATCGTTTCTGCTGGCAGTTGGGTACCAGTAAGTCAGGAACTGAAACACCGAAAAGCCAGATTCCACTTTCGCCTTATTTCAGTAAACAGACATAATATTTACTTTCTTTTCTTTTTTAACCGTGCTTGTTTATAAATAAATGCTACTAGTTAAGTAGGAGTAATACACAGTTGGTTAAAAAAATCAATTCTGCAAGCATTCGAAATGATTGAAGCTGCTCAGGTGGATAAAGTAGTGCAGGTGTGTACGTGATTTTGGAGCCCATCTTCTACACATTTACTAGTTTTACAACACTTGGAGAAGGTTTTTAATGGTGTCTGCATGTCACAGTAAAACTTGCTAATGATAATTCAAAGATCAGCAAGCCCTTTTTCATATATGTATACACACACACAAAATAAAGCCAAAAACCTGAGAAAATGAAACATCATCAGCTGGCATTACAAATGCATTTTGATAGTAATTAATTCAAAGCAAAAGGTTGTATGATTGATCATTTTGCTCTTGTAAGAGACCAACATAATCCTTGGGCTTGTATTGAATTTAGTGCAGTGTCCAGGCTGTAGATTTTGCAAAAGAAGTTAAGAGGTAACTGGGTTTGTTTGCGTCATGACTATTTTAAACAAAATCTTGACAGTGTAATGATTAAGCAGTCCTAGATTTTATTGACTTTAATACCATTGCATGTTGCTGATCTCTGGTATGGAACCTGAAATGATTGCAAAATTGTTAGGGGAGAAAAACAGGAGAGCAAGAGAGTGCATGTTATGTTTCATTGTAGAGTTTAGCAATTTTTTTTTTTTTAATATGGTAGTATCTTATTTTTTTTATAATACTTCTACTTTAGGTCCTGTTTTCCACTGATCTTTGAAACAGCATGGGGCAAGGAAATTCTTGTAAATAAGATGTTTCAGTCTAGATTTGAGAATCCTAATCAAGAGACTGTTCCTTTGCTTAAGAATAACTGGATTCCTACTATACAAGCATGGAAGTGGTCTTGCATTATCGACCATATCAGAGAGATCTAATAAAACTGCAGAAATTTGCAGAAGCAGCAGTGAAGGAGTTTCCCATTCGTCAGTTACCAAGATTTACACCCTGGTTTCCAAATGATTTATACAGACTTCCCCTCAAACCAAAAAAGCAGCCACCTGTTATTTCTTGTGAGGAAGCAGAAGAATTGAAACAGCTTTCTACAACTTCAGACTATATTACAGAATCTCCTGATTATGACTGCACAAAAAATCTCCTTGAGTTTCAGTCTAACATGAAACATGGGCAGACCTTAATCCAAGCACAAACTGTTCACAGACCTATTAACTTGGAGAATCAAGGAGAACCACCACCTAATGGAAAACAAAAATTGAAAAGGTCTTGGAGTGTCTCTCTCCCTAGCCCTAAGCTTAAAGAAAAGATTCTTCCTTTATCTCAAGAACTGCAAAATAATTTGGAAAGACTAAAACTGCATGCATTTTATAGAGCAAAGTGGACAATTGAGCAGTCTATTTGTAATAATCAGAATTTGGAGGACATCTGGATAAAATTGAATAGACTCATCAAGCAGAATGAATTGCCATCTTGCAATGCTACTATCCAAAGATCTGTGGGACAGATATGGATTTTCTGTGATATATTATACTGTGAATATGTTAGAAATATTCTTAGAGAAAAGCTAAGCCTTACTGATAAAATGAATTTACTTGTACATAAATTTGGAATTATATTTAGTTTATAATTGTAAGATAGAGTTTCATAATAAAATTGCTGTCTGAAGTACTAGAGTTTTTAAGCAGCTTAGAATACTCAAACTTTAGAACAACTGGTGAATTGACAAGCACAAAAGTACATAATATTACTTTGCTACAGTTTTTGAACGGTAATAATATATTTATTTAACTTCATTTCGTCAGGAGACTTATGAATAGTTCTATTAAGATTAGTAAATTTCTGTTTGGCTTAGTACTGCATTTTGTAGCTTTTCTCTACCTTGGTGGTATACAGGAAAAAAAAATAATAAAAATTCCAGACTGTTATGGCAAGCTGTGTGAGACAATGAAATTTATGCTTTCAATCAAGCTAAGTACATCATCACTGTGCTTCTTTGAAATTAGGAGAAGGAAAAATATTTTAAGTGAGTTGTTAATAATTGTTATAAAGAACTGTAATTTTTCTTGATACTGAGACTTTAAAGATCCAATTATTTAATGAAAATAGTGCATGTGGGTATTTTTATTGAAGGCAAAGTGCTCACATGAAATACAGACTTACTTTCTATTGCATGTATATGCTGTCTTAGTAACTTTAACCATATTTTCCCAGAAATACTAATGAAAGTTTCAGTAATGAACAACTTAGTATTTGCTGGTTTATGACTTTAGTAATAAGATATTTTTTTTTTCCTGATGTTTCTGGTCTTTTGTTTCTAATTATATTGGGGAACAAGAAAGCAGTAACTTCCAGCTATAGGTCAGGAAATTAAGAAACCAGATTTCTATCTGTAAACCCCTATTTATTGTCATTATGGAAGGTCTCTGAGGACTTGTATGTGTTTTGTGGTGATAAAAGGCCGAGTTGAACATGACTTCTTGTCACCTGAAAGAATAAAGTGTTTCAAGGTCATGCTGTCCTTGCTCAATTCAATATTTGGAGGGTCAATAGAGCAGTTAAACTGGGATTGATATGACTAAAAGGGTATGTATTTCTCTTAGGAACCCCTACTAACTACAGATAATTTTGCTGTAGCTGGAGGTCAAGGTCTGTGGAATCTGGAAAAGAGGGAAAAGTAAGTGAAGGGTATTTGTAGATTGTTAGATTATCGCTAACACTGGTCAAATAAAAGTGCACATAAGCATAATGGAGATCCCTCCGTGTAAAAAATATATAAGGTCTCCTTGGACTGTTACTTACATTTTTATTTTGATGACATTCTTTTGCTAGAATAATTGTATTTTATTATAGGCATTGCATATCTTTTTCTAGTTTAAAATTAAGGATATTGCTCAGTTTGGATCATGTTAAGTCTAAACTTTGAATGTAAAGGGGCGAGTCTTATGTTGACATTTAGGGTGTTTGTGACCTATTAACAATGTAAAATGCTGTCTAGAGTAACTGAGGGTCATTATTAGTTTTAAAGCTTGTATAGCCAAGTTATTTCACTGAAATTATTTTTCTGAGCTTAAGGCTAATAGTAGCAAAGTTTCTTTGTGCGTCAGCATTTTTAAAGATATAATGGAGTAGAATGCAGTGTGATTTGAGTTTTATTTAATGTTGTATTTTGTGTCTAGGATCTTAGAAGAAAAGAGATCAGGTCGTCCTGCAAAGATACAACATTTTCTAATATTAATTTAGGAGTCCCATTAAATATGATAGTCTACATATCTTAATTTATTTGTTTTGACTTCATTCCATGATTTGTTTGTTTATTGTCTTCAACATGACTAAACTTGATCTGTAGCTGTTCCTTTAGAAATAGTCAGCAAGTACTAGTTTAAATGGACTTACTGTAGATTTGAATAAAATTAGATAACTGCCAATAATACAGTCCTACTGTATTTATTTAATATACCAACAGGAGAGCTAAACAAACATCTTACTAAACGGAGAGATCGGTGTCACTGTTCAGTGGCAGCTCTCAGCTTTCTGCTGCTTTGGGCTGGCTTGTACGCAAATAATGATACATGCGCCACGAGCACCTTGGCTGGATAACTGTTGTGTAATAAAAAGTGAACACCACATTTGGTTTCTCTACAGAATTATTACAGTCCTGGATAGCACCAAATCCAGACTTTCACTTTGACCTGTTCCAGAATTGCTTAGTTCTTATGCATGTAATTCAGTATTTATATTCTTCTTTTGCATTGTTGAATCTGGTTCTGAATTTACCCTGGTTTGTATATTCTGGGGCTTTTTATTTACCTCATAGTTCTAAGCCTTTAGAGGTCATGGTTTTTGACTTCTAACCATAACAAAGAGAATGTATTATCTTTATTATGTGAAAACTGAGATTTGTTTGTGTTAATGCTAACTTGCATAGGTCTGCTGTACAGTAGTGTAAGTTCTTGTGAACCAACACAGCCCACTATACCCAAGTGTATATCGAAATAATTTGTGTATTTTACACAACTGGAAAGTGAGTGCTGGCCAGATGTTGTACTAAAGTATTAATAAAGATAAAAACACAATACATGTGTCAGTGCAAGGATGTTGATTTTGTTGCAGTCAAGATAAATCCTTTTATTTTATTTTTTAGTTTTAGTTTTCAGAAATTATATGGGTTTATGTTTAAATTTCCAAGAAAAACAAATCAGTAATTTTTACATATTTAGATCAACACCTAAGGTTACAAATGCTCAACTTTGTTTCATGTGAATGCTTTAATGTGCAAAATTAGGTCCATCGGTTTATATGAGTAGGGAAGAATTATTTTAAAAATCAACATCTTAAATCTGTAGTATAGATAAAAATAATGTAATTTTCAGTATTCTGAGTTAAAATAGCCTTTGAAAATACCACCTTCTTGAAGTAGAGGGGTTTTAATAGCAAGATCTCAGTGATTTTGATTTTTGTCAGTATTGATAAAATGTTTTTTTCTAAGTGTGTTCTTGAGGTTTTTGTGATGGTTTTGCTGGTCTGAGTTTAAAGTTTGTGACTAAAGAAAACGTGGTTGTGTAAATAATGTAGACTTCTAGACTTGTAACTCTGTCTTGTGTATGTTTTGGAGATTAGGGTGTAAATGCAATTCCTTATAGCCTGGAGTTTGAACAAGTCCAATACTAGTCATCATGTCCCATTCTAGAGCAACCAGGATCACAGAACAGGCGCTTAGCCTAGGAAAGTCCACAAAAACACCCCCAAAAAACTGGTACACTTCTCTGAAGTTCTCAAAGCACTTAACACTGTAACAGGTATAAGACTTTCAGGACCTAAGATTGAAAGCAGATGTTAGTGCACCAGGGGAATAAAGCAAGAGGGAGTAATGACATCACCAGTGCTCTTGGATCTGAGTTCCAGGGAATTTTTTATATTGAAAAAGGCCAGGTGATCCAAAAAGGTGTTACCTTTTTTCAGGCTAACATTTGGTGGTGATGAGTTTTTTGGTGGAAGGAGAGCAAGACAAAATTATGCTTTAAAAAAAAAAAATTAAAAAATACTTGTTTCATTGACCTATGGTTTATTTTCTGATTTTTGCAGTGATGAGGCTAACCAAACCTACTTTATTCACTAATATTCCTGTGACTTGTGAAGAAAGAGATTTGCCAGGTATGTAATTTCTACTGCCTATTATGTATGTATTACCAGCTTTAAGCAATGTGAATTAGATGTCAGAGGAGTCTTACATCCTCCTGTAGATGGTGATCTGAAACTGCAGTAAATTTTATGTTTGGTAATGGCTATAGGAAAATACCAACATGCACTCTACAACTCTTGACCTACAGCTTTGAAAACTTGGTGATGGTATTGCAAACACATGACCTCAAAGTCTAAGCAATCATCACACAAGATGAAATTCAGTTGTAACAGAGAAATGTGTAATTCTAGAAAGTTTGGTGTTAGTGTCTTTTTTTTTACCTGGAGAAAATGCCCTGCTAATTAGAACAAACACATGAATGATCGAGGGAAAATTATTTTGCAAGAGTCACGTGCTTTTGAATTGTGTTATGCTTGGTGTACAGTCATAAATTGGAAATCCCTGGGTTGTCCCCCAATCATAGTTGCAGTCTAGAAGTCAAGTATAAGAGGCTAAGGAAAGATTCAGGAAAAGAGGGTTTTGTGGAAATACAAAGCAAGCAGAGGAAGAAAAAGTGGGGTTAATTAGTTCTGTTATGTAATCTGCTTTATTTAGTTTAATGTTAATTTGAGCAATGCCTTTGGGATTGTGCTCTTCAGTATGTATACTGAATGATTTATTGGAGACAAGTGCCTGGAAGTAAGTTATAATTTATCGGCAGGCCTATAGATATGTATTTCATCCCTAAAACAGTTGGTTGTAAATTAAGTATGGCTAAAATAAATTACATGTAAATAAGTGGTTAAGTGTCATAACTTAAATGTAGTCAAAGCTTTAGACTTAGCAAATATTTAGATACTAGCAATTTGATATTTCTACAGGTAATCTATTTAACCAGCTCATGAAAGATGATCCATCTATTGTAAAGGGAGCAGAAACTTTGATGCTAGGAGAAATGCTGACTTTGCCTCAAAATTTTGGGTAAGAATTAATTATTTTAACTGTAACATGCAAAGTTTAGGATTCATTTAGTGCTACTGTGTTTATTACTTTTCTTTCTCTTTGAACATCATTGTTATGCAATGAGATGTTAAATTGTTTTAAAATTAATCTGTGGCTTGATATATAATGTGACCTAATATATAAATGTGTGCTGGCTGATGTTCCTTGTCTGTAGCCTGATTCTGAATGTAATAAGGATTGAAAGTTGAAAGAAATTTGCAGCTGTAGGTGAATTTCTAATGTAATGCACATTTCTAATGTAATGTAAACCACATCTTATACTAACAGTTTACTACAGTGATTTTTCGGGGTACTGCAAACCATCTGCTTATTCTTCTGAGATTTTTATCTAGAAAAAGATTGTGATTTATTTGTCTGATCTCTTTTGAAGTTGTTTGTCTTAGAAGGATGACATTTAGAAGTATGGGTGTGAAAATGCCAATGTACGTTTAAGATTTGATCTGGCAAACATGCGTGTGTGTATTTTAATTAGAACTTAAAGGGGTTTCAATGAGATGCTCTGTATTTTTTTTAAATAACTGTTACTAAGCATTTTTTTTTTTTTGAACACAGAAATATATTTCTGGGAGAGACTTTTTCCAGTTACATTAGTGTACACAACGATAGTAATCAAGTTGTCAAGGACATACTGGTGAAGGTATGTGAAGATAAATCTACTTACTGGATTTATAAAGAAAAAAAGTATGTTGAGTATGTTTTCTGACAGTATCTTATATGCTTAATGCTAATATATAGACTTTAGGAAATACATGCCACTTTTTCCAATCCAGAAAATACACCTGGAAATTGGAAACAATAAGACATAAAAATAGAAATGAAATCTTTAAAGATTAAAATGAAAACTAGGATTGTATGAAAAAATGGATATGTTATAAAGCTTCTCTGGAGAATTGGCGTAGTAAAACTTCCACAGCTAAAAAATTGGAGTTATATTCACTTACTTGCACTTTCAATAAGGTCATCAAAGCAAGACTCTGTAAAGCATTCATTTACTTGTATTTTGCTTATATTTCAAATGAGTACTTTTATAGTGCACCTTTTTTTTTTTGCTGAACAAATAATACGCTGAGAATAGAAATTCCAGAAGTCATTGTGGAACTCAGTGTAAAACAGAGAGATATTACAAGCTGTATATTAAAGGACTAGACCGTTTATATTTTAGAACTTGTCTTTAGCTTTGACAAGTATCTCATCTTCTTAACGTATCTTAATTTATAAAATATGTATAAAAGCGTATAGGGTACAAAATGCTTAGTGAAACCTAGTACTTTGTAACATGAGTTATTTTTCTTTAGATTGCTTTAAGCAGCTGCAGTTCTGATGCTTTGTTTTTTCTGACCCCAGGCTGATCTTCAGACAAGTTCCCAGCGCTTGAACCTTTCAGCTTCTAGTGCTGCAGTGGCAGAACTTAAACCTGACTGCTGCATTGATGATGTGATCCATCACGAAGTAAAGGAGATAGGAACACACATGTAAGGTTTTAAATTTTTCTGTGATTAAATGAGCTTAAATGAAACTGCAGCACTTGCATGCTGTTCTGGTGCTGCTTTGATATAGGCACGAAATTTAAAATAATGCAAAATTATTTTTTAAAAAATTGTTTCTTTCAGCTTAGTTTGTGCAGTAAGTTACACTACGCAGACAGGAGAGAAGATGTACTTCAGAAAGTTCTTCAAATTTCAGGTATTGCATGAAGTATTCTACATTTAATAAATGGATGAATCTGGAAAACCCATTTTAAAACATTTGATACTTCAAAAGCTCTTTTACATACTAAAAATCTGTTTGACTCTTAAAACTGGACTGATAAAAACTGGTGTTTCAAACTTCACTTGAACTGATGGTTTCTAATTACCATGCACATAAACATTTCAGAAATTATAAATGTTACATCTTACTATTTTTATTCATTTATTGAGAAAGAAAAATCTACTCTTTAAAAAAAATAGCAGCCAGCTTTATGATTATTTTTGAACAGAACAAGTGTTGTTCATTCTGACTTTGACACACCTATCCTTTGAATTTAGATTGTAAAATTCTGATTCTTCTTTTAGTGTGTGTAACCTTTTTTAAATTGGAACTTAGTGGTTTGATTTTTAAAGGAAACTAAGCAAAGAAGTCTAATGTGTTACATCTGACTAATAGCCAAAAAAGTAATTGATAGAGTTGAAACCTTTTGTTCCACCATACAAGTTTCAAGACTTGAGATTAGAGTAACTGAGGAAAGCAGGAAATTACTGTTATCTGCAGTCTGGTTCTGGCAAGAAGGAGTCTATTTTAGCTGTGTATTTAATGGATGTTTATTTTTTAGAGAAATAGGTTGAGACTTGGATGATTGTGGGCTCTTTCCCATAGCATGGAGGATTAGGTGATGTGCTTTACTGAATATATTTTTAAATACTCTCAGAGAGCGTCTGACAATACAGGAGCATTCTATAATCGAGACCAGTATCTTTTGCAAGTTGCAGGTGATTTCATCTTGCTCTGTTCTGATATTCTGTCTAGATACTTAAGAAAAAAGCATTTTGGTCTTTAGAAGGCTAAATTGCCGTGTGCTACAGGCAAAGACCATCCAAGTGCTGTGAGTACTTGTGGGCCTTGAAATGGCAGGTATTGATTAGTCAAAGATGTTTCCAGACAGTCCTAGGGAAAATCATTCCATACCAATTTTCATGTTACACTCTCCTCTGAACCCAGAAACTCTGCAGGTTTTTTTCATTTTTATTGAAGCTGATTTTAATCTTTGTGTGTTTTGTCTTGCTCTCCTGGTGAAACTGTTTCCCTTTCAATTGCTCCATTCTTTGTCCCCCAGGAGTTCAGTATTCTGTCCCTATGTCCCTTCTAGGCTTTCTCTGATCAGTAACGTACACATCTGCCAGTTTCCAGTTTTCATCTTTGCTCCCTTTCCTACCCTTGTTCTTGCTGGAACCTTTGTTAGTCAATTTGTCTCCTTTAGGTTTGCTTTGGAAACTTATTTGTGCACATTTTTCAGGGGTCTATATGCATATTGTAATTTCTGGGTTTTTTAACTGAATCCAACACAGGCAACTTTAATGTCAGAATAGTTATGGCCACCTATCTGTCAAATTTGTAGCTTTTCCCTCAAAGAATGAAGCGTAGGAGCTTCTCAAAAACTATATATACACTTCAACACCATTCTATAAATACTCTCTGATTCATTACGAGAAAAATACTTCACTGAGCAATTTTTGTTGTTATTTTTTAAATTTGACATGGAGGCACCAGCTAGAAAATCTGAGAAGAAACAAAAAGAAATGTTACAGAAAACTGAACAATGTCTTTACAATGGGAATTGATGGCTGCTAGTGATAGAGGTGCCACCAGCTATTTTATAAAAAAAAAAATATTTCTTTGACAGATTCTTAACTTTCAGTTATGTATTTTAGGATCTTTTAAGTTGAACTGGTGTTACAGTTGGTTTCAAACAGATTCTTTTTCAACCATTATATGTAGTTTAATACTGATCAATAGTGCCTTTTTGTTCCAAAGCTTTCTTGGAGTAATTAACACCATTATGTTTATATGGGGAAGGAATGATCCTTTATAGGGTTTGGTTGTTGTTTGGTTTTAGGGAGGAGGTGTGAACCTCACAGTAATTATATGATTTTTACTGGAATGACACTTGAAATTTACTGCAATTAATGGAAGGACTTTGTTTATCAGAAAGAGCGAGGAAAACATCATCCTACAGGGAAACTACTAAGCAGCTCACTGAAACAGAATATTTGGCAGAAAAAGCCCACTCAACCAACAAACACCTAAATTAAAACTTTGAGGTTTTTTGACTAGAAAGATATAATTATCATTACTTGAAAGATTTTAACATTATGTATGTTATAATGCAAAAATCTCTGTGAAGACTACTTTTTAATCTTGAATTCTTCAGGGCTAAAATATTTGTTCACAATTTGGAACTTTAGGGGTCTCTCAGGATGCAGTATACTTCTATGTAAACAAAAGAAAAGTTGCCTTGTGTGAAGGGAAATAATGTGTTCAGCAAAATAACTTAGATTTGTTTCCTTACAAGTATAATACAAGATTGTATCTGTCAGCTACATCAGTGTTAATATTTGAATGTGTTAACTGTAATGGCTTTATACACAGAATTCAAGCACTTAAGAATGAACAGTGTATCACCTTTTATATCATCAAATTGTTTTCTCTTGCTGATTTATTCTCATGCCATAAAAACGATTTATTGGCTTTTTAATTTCTTGTAACAAGTTGCATTTTCAAGAAGGAAGTGAAGCCTAGTAATGGCTTGTTGCTTAAGCTAATCTCATGAGTAGTTCTCTATTTAGTTTATTTTTAGAGCAGCCCTCAGCAACTTTTGTCTGCTGCAGAACACTGAAGGACTTGTAAATATTACATGGTTCTTGCTCACTCTTGAAAGCAAATGCAGACCACTTCAGGATACAAGATGGATGTAATTTTGTTTTAAAGACATAGATCTACTTAATGCACTGGATTTGTCTGGTTTTGTGAGAGGCCAGTGCTTAGATGCTGGAAGTACTTGTTTTCAATTTGAGAAAACTGCTTAGTAGCAAAGCAGTCAAGTGTGCAAATAAGCAGCAGCAAACGTATACTCTGAATTATGGGGTTTTAGCCAAGTTGATTGTATTGTATATTCCATTATGCACCTGTTCTGTGTAAGATCAAAAAGGAAAATAGCACTTTAGTAAAGATCCTAGCACTTATAAACAGTTTATGCTGAAGTGCTCTGGGAAACCAATTGCCAATCTGCCTTTTTTCCATTTCATTCAGGTTCTTAAACCACTAGATGTGAAAACCAAATTCTACAACGCTGAGGTAAGTAAGAGCTCCGTGTATTTTACTTTGTTGTGCTGGGTTTACTTCACATTAGGTATTTAGATTAAATTCAAAGAACTTCTTAAGTACACAGACTTCTGAGAAAGATGATCAGTTCTAAAGGGGAAAAAATAGGTGATGGGTTTATATCATTTAGTTTAAAAATAGATATACTTTTGATGAAGGGGAGGAAGAGATGGTAACCAAGGCAGACATGTCAGGACCTTAATACAGTTGACAGGCAATTTTGCATATTTTCCACTTTCCCATGAGCTCAAATACTTTCAGTTAATGCTTGTATATTTAGGTGATAGAGTACTTAACTGTAAAGGAGATTAATTGTTCACAAAGCAGATAATAATTTACCAGATTGGGAAAATGTAAATTTAAAATTCCTCAATGTAAATATGACCCCTCTGTTCAATAATTTAATTTTTAGGTTTCTGGCAGTTATACACAGTGCTTCAAAACTAAATGACCTGATACGTGCCTTGTATATTTATTTGGACATACTTAGGAATCTGTCTTTGGCTATTTATGAGAAGAATTTTAGCTGAAGGTGGCACAGTGTGGAAACTCTTACAAATTACATACGGCATTCTTTTAATTTGTAGACATACCCTGTGAATATGTGTATTATATAGGTCTGTCATAGGGTATAATCTTCCACAATATCTCATTGCACAGGAAGTTAAAACATTTGTTTCCATCATTATCACTTCCCTGCTTTGTGATAGTGAGCAAGTCATTTTGTGAGCATTGTATTCTGTACTGTTTATGTGAAGTTCAGAATGATACTTGCAAAGTACTTTGAGAGCTTCCATTATGAGTATTAAACTTCTTCCATAACCCCTGAAATATGGTCAACTATTTATGCTGCTAGTCATTTGGTTGAAAAGCTTCATTAGTATTCTTAAACTGTTTGAAATAGTTCAAAAGATAGCGTGAAAGTTGGAGGTGTTGTGTGTTAGAGTGAATAGTACATGGGAGAAAAAAGACTAAGGTGTCAGTAAGAGGAGAAGGAAATACATGGAATTTTGGCAATTTGAAAAATAACTTGTGTTAAGCTATGTAGAAAATATTTTGCTCTCCTGTTTGTTCTTATCTAAGCAGATGTATGTGCTATGAATTTGTATCTAGAAAAGCAGAGAGTCTCCAAATCTATTTTTCTAATTATTTATCTCCATCATAGTCACACCTGGGGTTTATCATGCAAGATTATGGTTATAGCACTGTGAAAGGTATATTTCTTTCCCTTCCTGACAGTATCAATAGAGAAAACAGAAGGGAGAAATAACAGATAAGAATTTGTGCTCTGCAGATGAGGATTCCAGATGCAAAGATATGTCTTGTTCAGAGTTGTGCAGGAAACTTTCCATAAAGATTTTCTCTCTGCTGTGAATGACTAGCATGTAAATTGAGACATTTAATATTTAGCACATAATTTATTTAGAGGGAGGATAAATCAAGGCATAGGTCATAAGTGATTTAAATATCATAGTTCAGAGGAAAAGAGGAAAACATTTTCCTAATCATATCTTGGTACATATATTGAGTTCAGGCTTCAATCCTTAGGCTGACCAGGTGTGAGATACCTGAGTAGGGTCAGAACATAGGCACATATCACTGGTCAAGTGCTTTATAGAACTGGTGTTATCTGTAAATGGGAATGTCTGAAAAAGTCTCCTCCTGTGATTTAAGAACAAAAATAATCCTAAGAAACTACGTAATTCCTCAGGGAACAAAATAAAAGTCCATTTTGTGTGTGGATTACATTATTGTTTCAGATAGAAAATATGCGGTAGGGGAAAGAGGGACAAATATCTTAAATGTTGCTCTCTATACTTCACATGTAAATTTTGTGTTGTGCTGAAACACTTTGTAACGAATCAAAATAAAAACCTCTTTAAGGTAAATTCAGGGCAAACTGTTGGTATTGGTCAAAAGTATTCTTTTCTTACAAAATTGTTTTACTGACTGGCCTTGATACAGGACTTAGCAAACTTCATTCCTCAATTAGCCACCAATTCCTCATGATAAAGAGCTATGAGAAGCTTTGGTGTCTGAGCTGGTGTTTGTAGTTTTTTGGTTTTGGCTCCCCTTCCACACTCCCTATCCCTGTAAAGGTTTTAAAAGGCTCCTTTGATGCCTTTTGTTCTTCCTGTTCAGGAATTTATGCAACTCTTGTTACCACAGTATCCATATGATTGATTGAAAAAAAACTTTCTTAGATTTTGGATGATACTAGCTGAGCAATTTTAATTTGCCTAGCAAACTGATATAGTACCATTCATATTTCATTTCTGAAAGTGTATAAAGTGCTGCTATGTATAAATAAATAAAATAAAATAAAACTTTAAAACCTAGAAATAAGTCTTTGGTTAGATGTTGCATGTGATACTACATTGCTGTCAAAGCACCAAGACCTTCATCGAGAATATTAAGAAAGACTGTTATCCTTGGGAGCAGGGGATTAAAAAAAAATTGGTATGTGTCAGTTATTAGTTAACTAAAGGTCTTTAAAGGTTGACTAACCGGTTAAACTGTTACCATTAATATTACAGATGTGATGGTATCTGTTCAGAAAGTCTGTCACTAAAACTATTTTCTACTAGAATTTATAATCCATAATTTCATTTTTTTCTAAGACAAGGAATGACGCTGAACCTTAATTTTCTTGCTTGTTGCTCATATTGCAGTAGCATCCAAATCAAGTTGATCGCTGAAATTCGTGCATAGAACGCATGCCCTGTCGCCCTAACCTGCTGCAGTCCTGAGATTGAATTACCTGCCCCAGTCTATAGAAAGTCTCTCACTGACTTTGGCGTGCCTTGGAAAAGGCTCTGTAAAAGGTTCTGTTTCTGCAAACATGCATAGGGACACAAATTTGCAGACACTTAAGAAAACAAAGTTTGCAATTGAAGTTGGGTTTTTGGAATGATGGATATTCAAAAAAGTTTTTCCTGATTATGTTATGCCAAATTTTGTTACAAGCTGCAGTATTGTAGCTTTGCTAGAACACATTACCACATTATTTTTATTTTGAGACCTTACATATGTGGATACTTCAAATTATCTGTAAAATGACAAGGACTGTTTTCCCATTTCATATACAACCCATTGCATGGATTTAAGTTCAGGACAAACTTTAAACTTGCTCAAAACCTAACTTTTGGGGGGGACAGTTTGTGATTTACATGACTTAGGTTCTACTTTGGATTGGTTCTGAAGCAAAGCTAGTAAACCATGTAACCACACTAGCTATAACTTATTAGAAATGTAGTTGTCATCTTTGTTTGCATCCATTTTTATTTACGTTTCTGTCTTACTAATGCTATCTTGTTTAGATGGTGCAAAAAAATGCAGAAATGCATTTTGTTTGAAAGTTACCCTCCTTTTTCTTTAACATTTAACCCTAATTTCTCTAATGTGTTCTTTTTTTATTTTCCCATTAGAGTGACCTCAGTTCTGTGGTAATTTTTATTTATTTTTTTATAAATATGTATGCTTTTTTAATTGCCTATCTGTCTCTGTGCTTGTTGCCATTCTTTTAAAAACATAATGGAAAAGCAATGTTTGTTCTGCATATCATGAACTGATGTTTTCTCATCTTTATATGTGCAGCTAATCAAGTAAATAGTTAGCTCTTTCTTTACTACCCATTGTTGAAACTAAAAGTCGATTATTACAGACTCTTGCTTGTGGGGGTCCTCCTGTAAAACACCTCACCAAAATTTGCCTAGATTCATTATCTGAAAACGGAAGTTAATCCCTTCTAAAATTTTCCTGCTTTTGACCTGTAGAAATGTAGGTTCTGCTGCAGCACTGCTTGTGTAAGCTGTGACAGAACTTTTCACGTCTGGCTGGTGGAGACAGTGGGTTTGAGGAGAGAGCACTTGGATGTTCTTCCTTCCTTTCGCTAGCTGGAACTGCACTTTCCAACTTCTAACTGCATGTAACAGTTGATGAGTTAGTGTGGTAACTTTTGCAGTCTGATTTCACTTTAAGGTGTGCCTTGTGTGAAAATAAACTGCAGTCTTCGGAACTACTAAAGGATTTTTATTTTTTTTTTAAACGGCGTGATATTAAATCAACTTAGGAATAACACAAAACTAACTTGCTTTTTCATTATGCTGCTGCTTGGGTTTTTTTCCCTTTCAAATTAGCTTTTTCTAAGTTTCTGCCTATGGTTGCTGCATTGAAAACACTAAAATTTGGCTAAAAGGACACTTTGAGCAATGGATTTATGGGATATAAACTATCAATTTAAGTGACAGTCAGGTGGTAGTAGTAATGATTACTGAGAGCCATGTTTTAGTTGAGGTTATTTACAGCTCCTGGAAGTGAGGTCTGTAGCCCATGGAGCTTGCACAGTTTTTATTACTGTATATATATTATAATCTGGTTTGTGTTTACCATGTTTAAAGGCATAACAAATAACTCTAGTACCATTCTATATTTTTCTTTCTAACATAGTGCCCTTGGAGACTAAAAATATTTTGTCTGTTCTGTCCCATTTTTATTTTGTGATTTACAAGCAGGACTTCATTTGTGTAATGAAGTAATTTATTTGCACTGATCAAAAAGAAACCGTAAGCTTCCTTCCACCTTCCCCATAAAATTACTTATTTTTTAAATTTATCATAACAAAATACCTAAACTGCTTCATACTGAATTTGCAGAATAGAGTATTTCATTTGGAAGGGACCTACAACAATAATCTAGTGCAAGTGCCTGAATCAATAACTCTTGTAAATGCAGATTTGGTACTCCCCCCCTCCCCCTGGCTTTTTTTTTTTTTTAATTGACATGTCTTTTTGTTTTGTTTTTCACTTCTGCAGGGGCTCTTATCTCTGGTAGACTGAGCCTTCTGCAATTATTCTGTCCTGAGATTTTAGACCTGCAAAGTGACATCACTGGTCTGCAATTCCACAGAAGCAGTGAGGCAAAACCACCTCTAGTTCCATGTTTTTTTCAGTTTCTGAAGTTTAACAGTTCGTAGCTTTCATTCCTGTACCAGAATTGGTCCTTAGATACCATATCATTTAACAGATATGTCTTACAGAATGTTTTGAAGGTAGAGCACCAGTTAAATTGTTGGATGTGTATAATATTGGTAACCATTGGCATGATGCAGCTAAGTGAGAGAGGGGGCTGGTTTTTGCTTTTTAGCCAGTACATCAATGTTTCACAATCATAATAAAATCTCAGAGCATGTACCTGAACTTCACTTAAACACACACACTTATTTTAATTTTTTTATACAGCTTGATGCACTAGTAATCTGGCATGGCATGTCGTTGTGCGGCGCAATTCCTTACCATTTATTCTTTTTTTTTTTTTCTTTTTTAATAATATGGATTAAAACTTGAGTTGCTGTTGAGTTGATGAAAGTCTTGGGAAGTAGTGATCTGATGCATTACAAATAAGCAATAGCTAGAACATGGCAAAATTATCCCACATCCATTGTTTATCAAGATACCCGTTGACTAACACTTTTGCTCCTGTTGTTACTGGGATTAAGGTTTTTTTTTTCTTGCATTAATTAATTTGATTTGCAGGCATGAACTAAACACATGTGACTTTATTTTTTTTTTTTTTTAACAATAGGACTGTCTTCTCTTTTTAATAACACTAATCACGTTTTCATGAACTTGCACCTTTGTTTTTTTTCAGACTGATGAAGTGTTTCTGGAAGCTCAGATTCAGAATATCACTACCTCTCCAATGTTTATGGAGAAGGTTTCTTTAGAGCCATCTATGATGTACAAAGTTGCAGAACTGAACGCAGTTGACACAGCAGGGGAGAGGTACGTTCGGATTCAGGATACTTGACTGTGAAACTCTGTGTTATGGTTTCATGAGAAGCATTACAGTTAGTGAGTTGTCTGTAATGGAAGGATTGTACTTCTTTGCTTCATTAAAAAGATCAAATTCATGTTACGTATTCAGCTGGAAAAGCTGTTAGTTTTCTTTTTATAGAAACTATTTTTAAAACTTTGTAGTTCTATCTAGTAGAGAAATGCTCGGCTTAATCCTCAAATAATTGGTAACATGGGTGACATGGTAACATGCAAACATACTACTTTTTCAGTATCTCCTATGTAAAATTTAGCCCACATCTGCCTCTGACTTGATCTGCCTGTGCGTATTTAGCCTTAGAGGACCCATCTGACTTGTCCTTGCTTCCTTCTAGTAGACTGGTAACTGTTTTCAATTGTTTTAATCAAGATCTAACAAGGCAGCAGTCAAGGTGAATCAGTGGGACACCCTTATAGGATCTTAGAATGTAAAAATTTGCCATGCTGAAATAAATTAAGTGTCATTTAGTGTCAGTTAGTAAAATACCAAACACCAGAAGAATTTTCTACTGAGTTCAGTAAACTGTTGTGGATACAAAAGCTTGTGATATCTGGGTAGAAGTTAACTTTGGCTGTTTGTGTTCTGCAGTTGCTTGGGTTTATGGAGGAGGTGATGTTTGGGTGCTTCTGTAGTGGGGGCTGGAGTGAAAATTCTTTTTTCTCCTTGCCTGTTGAAGGGTTCACCTGCAGCGCAGTGGAGCATTGTTCTTACAGAGTGTTTGCATCTGCTGTAATGGTTCTTGTCCTGAATGGGAATCTTAGCCTCATGACCCTGAGATTTACTGGGAGGGAACCAAATAGCAGCAGTAAAATTACCAGCATTTTTTAAATGCTAAGATGCCAGATAGTAACCTATAGTGTAGCAAAGCAGATTTCCAACTCAGTTCTCTCTGGCTCAGATGAATAATTTTTTTGCTCCTTGGTCCTTGAAGCTCCATAATTCTAGAGTTGTTTTGTGTTGTGAAAACACAAAAAAAAGTCTGTGTTTTCCCATGAATAAAATACACACAGAGTAAGACTGGTGAGGGATGGGGAGAAAAAAGGTTGGGTTCTTAAGTCTTCCTGAAAAGAACTGTTTAAATTAAGACCCAATTTTTTTTTTTTCTTTTAGTGAGTCTACTTTTGGCTCAAGGACTTACTTACAACCTATGGATACACGTCAGTACTTATACTGCCTAAAACCAAAGCAAGAATTTGCAGAGAAAGCTGGAGTAATAAAAGGTGTGACAGTGATTGGTAAACTAGACATTGTATGGAAAACTAATCTGGGTGAACGTGGAAGGCTGCAAACTAGCCAGCTTCAGAGAATGGTAAGTTTAACTTAAGCAGTTTAATTTAGCATCCATTTTTAAGGCACCTCAGTGAACAATTTAGTAATGACTTGAAGGAAAAGTTCAAGCTGCTTACCTTCTGGACTTCATTTTGAATTCACGTCTCTATACGTATTTGAGAAAGTGATATAATATATTTGGTCAGTGAAGTGTGGATAAAACACTATTCTGAGGAACTGTAGCTGAACAAAAGCATTCTTGTTCTTTTTGGTCATGTGAATGGCAACATTTTTTGTTTTCTTGAAGATTGGTTTTCTGGCACATAACATGCCTCTTCCTTTTTTTGACAGCACTGAACAACATAACTTAATAGATTGTGCACTTGAATTGCCAGAATCAAGCAACCTATACAGCAAAATACATTAGTTAGAGTAAAATTAACTTCTTGGATGCCATTTGGTGAAAAACTGAAAAGCACTGACAAAAGAACTCCTTCAAGTATGCTCTTGACAGACAAGTCTGCTCCCTAATTCATGCAGACATTTTAGCTTCAAGTAACAGTTTTTATGCATAGAATAATACTATTTGTCTTTCACATCCACATTTCTGATTGAATCTATTCTATTCTGGTTGATTTAGAAACTGCTCATGAATTTTAAGTTGTAATTACTAGCTTGCCTAAGTCAGCTGCACAGCCTGTCTACTCTAATACCTAAACCTGACTTGCAGCTTTTGAATTGAGGATAGTGTAATATGGAAGAGAAGTAAAAAAGCTTTGACAATTGAATCTTAATTGGAGTTTACAAAGATTGTAATTGGGTTCCTGCCTCTCCATTCCCATCTTCTAGTAAATTGAGTTTTTTTTAGGGAAATCACAGTGACTTGGAACTAGGCAAGCAGACTTGGATCCTGGAAATTCACAGCTAAGTCACTAAAACTTCTCTTTTTTTTTAATTGAGGTGTTAAGTATCTGTATGACCCCATCATATCAGAAACTTGCCCTTTTTTTCTAAACTTAGTTTCTCCTTTTACTTTGAAACTTGTCGTTTGCTTTTTAACTAATAAACTGTATCATTTTCAACTGACCTTTCCTATAATTTCTCTTTAAAGACAGATTTCCTTCCTGCCCCCACATGCCCCCCCCGCCCAATCAGTATTCTGTCACTCTGCATCCGTTCTTGTTGAAGCTTTGAGAATTGCACTTAGAACACGGTGGTGATTAACACACACCTCCACACTCCAGGATTAGTTTTAGTCATCCAATCATTGTTTTGTGCTAGTGATTAATAGAGGAGCATGAGCTATTTTGTGTGCTTGAGCAACATCTGTGTCTGGAAAAGCAGCAAATGGGGTTTTTGTCGTTTGTTTCCCCCCCCCCCTTTGAGCTGCAGTGCAGCTCCCTCTTGTCTTCTCATCTTTTAAGTGCTATCAGTGTTTCATTTCTAGGCTACTTTCACCTTCCATCATTTTCCTCCTAATCCATTTACTAGCCCTATAATCATTGTTTCCTCTACAAACACAGAATTTGTGCACTGTCATTGTTTTGCTTCAGATCAGGAACGCACTTTTGAAACAAGCAATCCCAGATCACCCCCACATACCATAATTCGGGGTTTGGGGTTTTTTTTTGTGGTCTTGGAATTCACAACGACATTCTTTTTGGGCAACATTAACCCAGACAGATGCATGTCCACAGTATCCTAAGGGTGCTCCATCTGTTCACTGGCATTCAATCCAGGACTAGACTAGAATGAGTCCAAAGTTAAAGAACATTATTCTTGAATAGCACAAGCAAGGGATTATCTAGTTGATTCCATACTCGGAGCAACGATCTCATTTTCGGATGAAAACTGCATTCCTCCTTTTGGTGTTACTGTAAGGCCTTTACCTCTAGCTATCAGTTCTTGCAGGTATCTCATTAAGGCCAGCAGGTGTGTACTGGTTTAGGCCTTCTCATCTGCTCTGATTCTGTCTTGATTTGGTCAATTGCTGCTGAGTTTATTCTATAAAATACTACTTTCATTGTTGGTTTTTTTTTTCTTAATGTAACTCTCTGAAAAGAAGAATCTAATGTTATAGCAAACAACCTGTTGTTTAGGGAACTGGATATAATTTTTCCAGTAGATTCCTTCATGTCCCCTAATACAGCTGAAAACGTGACATTTTCCAGTGCTGGGTAATTACTTCTCTTTCCTGCAAGGTTCCAAACTCAGGTTGCTCGACTGGTCTGAAGTCCCCATCAGTTTGACATCCCTTTGCTCACTCTAATGTCCAGTTTAATACGCTTTCTAAAATGCCATCCGTCTTCAGTCTGTAATGAACTGCATGTAACTAAAACCTGTTCCCAAGCGGTCAGTCACTGGCTTTCTGGACATCTTTGGGAAACTCTTTTAATCAAGCTGTAAATGCAACTCTTACTACAGCATCCTTCTATCAATCAGCAGAATTAGAACGTGAGTCACAACTAAGCCTTGTCAGGCAGGGCAAATTTTTCCCTTTTTTTTTCCTTATGATCTGTCGTTTGTGGGGATTGAAAATATAAAGCTTTTTATCTGTGGGTTACCATCTTGAATCAGCCATGGTTGGTAGCAACTAGGATATTTATTGCAGGTTTGTTAGTAGACCATATGACATGTGTTTGGCTCTTGACAGAATTGGACAGTTGACAAGTGTTCACATCATGTGGCTTTCTAACTGGTGGCAATTAACTATTTTGGCAGAGGCTTGGAGGACTGAAATGGCAAGGAGGATGAACAATCTTAGGGCAGATTTAGAGTAGATATAAGTTAGGAATTTTTTACAGTGGGGGTAGTGAAACACTGGAACGGGTTGCCCAGAGAGGTAGTGGAGGCCCCATCCCTGGAAACATTCAAGGCCAGGCTGGACAGGGCTCTGAGCAACCTGATCTGGTTAGCAGTGTCCCTGCTGACTGCAGGGGGGAGTTGGACCAGGTGACCTCTAAAGGTGCCTTCCAACCCAAAACATTCTATGATTCTATGGTTTCTTAGGATGTGGAATAGTGGTGTGTTTATCAGGAAAACTATACTTACATTACGTTACCTGTCTTAGAGGAGGTCTTAGAATGAAGCTGATCTGTTCAGGAACTGTATTTGAGTATTCAAACTTGGAAGGATGTGAACTATCCAAAAAACTTAGTAATAAAGATCATCCTTGTCTAATGAATAGTTAAACCTATCAAGGTGGTGGTCATCACTAGTGGATGGAATGCTGCTATGGTTTGGGTACAAAACAAAATTCCTTTTATTCCAAACTTGTTGCCGTAAATGAAAAATTGAGCAGTAAAAACTTTGGCTTTACTATCAGCATCTGAGAATATATGTTCTTGTACCTTCTCAGGCTCCTGGTTATGGTGATGTAAGGCTTTCTTTGGAGACAATACCAGACACCGTAAATTTGGAAGAACCTTTTAACATTACATGTAAAATAACAAATTGCAGGTAATGATGTCATGTGATTCTTACGCTTTTTCCTTGTGGCTGTCTTTGTTTCATTTTTTCAATATTTTCTCCTGAAACAACTCAAACCTGGTCTTTCCTATGAGTTATGGCTGTTGAAGGGTACTGAGGCACCCATCTGCTGACCTGACAGGGAGTCACGAGAGGTATGCTGCCTTCCGGGAGCTAAGGTTCGAGACATGGCCGTGAGGGTGCCACAACTCATCAGGAGAACAGACTACTATCCACTACTACTATTTCATGTAGGCACAAACGATACAGAAAGCAGAAACCGGGGTAAAATCAAGGAAGACTTTCGAGCCCTGGAGGTACAAGTGAAAAACATTGGGGACCAGGTTATCTTTTCTTCCATTTACCAGTTAGAGGGAAGAGGGTGGCCAGAAATAGGTGCATAATGTTCATCAACTTATTGCTACGTGGCTGGTGCCAACGTGAGGGTTTTGGCTTCTGTGACAATGGGGCATTCTTCGACGACTACAACCTGTTAGGGAGGGATGGGGTCCACCTCTCTAGGCGAGGCAGGGGAATCCTAGGCAGTAGGTTGGCTGACTTGGTACGGTGGGCTTTAAACCAAAGGACTTGGGGGGTGGGGTGCACAGTCAGGACACTCAGGCAGTTGCATCCGATGGGGGAACAAGTGTGTCCATTCAGAGCAGCAATAAATGTGCCATAGCTGCCTCCCAGCTTAAGAACGAGAAGACCAACTGCCTTAAAGGTGGGCTTGGCAGTGGCAGATCCTTTTTCATCCCTCCAGGGAAACCTAGGTGCTCAATTCCCTCACTGAAATGCTTCTACACCAGTGCACGCAGCATGGGGAATAAGCAGGAAGAGCTAGAGTTTTGTATGTGGTCGCAGGGCCATGATCTCATTGCAGTTACAGAGACATGGTGGGATAACACACATGACTGGAACGCTGCCATCAATGGCTATGTACTTTTCAGGAAAGACAGGCCTACGAGGCGAGGCGGTGGAGTTGCTCTTTATGTAAA